CTTCGACGATTCGTCGCAACGCAAAATTCACTTCGATCACGTTCCTTCAACCACTTTCGAGTAACTACGTTAGATCTGTCGCACTGGCGAATTGTGGGCCGCGTTGCGTAACCATCGCGCAATCGCACGACGAGAAAAGACGATACGAGCGAAGAAAATGGTCGACGGGTGACAGAAAGCGTCGCCCGACGATCTCGAAGAGATTCCGCTCGACAATTGATACGAATGCTTGAAATAATTAGATGTACGATGTATTGTTAATAGATTTAAACCTGTATCAGCTACGGATTGGGATTAAGATTAAAATTTGACCAATCAGGACAAGAATCACTAGACTTCAATTTAGTGAACATTGCCCTGATTGGTTAAATCTCAATCCAATCTCAATCCTACTTTGTAGTTTAATACGGACATTACGCGAGCGACATATTTTTGCATTGTAAAGTGAAAATGATACGTTAAATTGGTATATAAGTGTGTATGTGTGTGTGTAATCGCGAAACTTTATGTCCGCACTGTTCACGTGCAAATGAGTCATAACGCTTTTTGAGGAAAATCGATTAAACCACGCCTCTGAATCAATATAATTCGTGATTGTATTCTTCTTATTCCATAGATTTATGTGGTCTGTTCTTTATAGCTGTACTGCTGAAAACCGGTGCAACAAGTTCGAATGAGACAATATTTTATCTCATTCTTAGTCCTGATCTACAATAGATGCCTTAAGCTCTAAGCCTAAAAAAATTGAGCAATCACAATCGAATTATAGAAGAAAAATCAATTGTGATTGGTCGGCTTAAATTCTGACTGTAGACCCCGCTTAAGTTCCGATCCACAGTAGATATTTTAAGTCTTAAGAAATTGATTAATTACAGTTAATTATTCTCTTCATATTCAACTGTGATTGGTCAATTTCTTAAGGTTTAAAATACTTATCATGGACTAATACTAATGTTCTTTAAACCACTTCTTTTTTATGTATTGTTCAAACACAGTTTTAAGAATAATATCAGAAGTAAATTAGTAAAAATTTTATATTTTTTGTACAAAAATATACAAAATTACCTTACCATATGTATATATATTTATATAATTAACTGACAATATATAATTGATTAAAATTGATACTAATAACAAAATCACATGATCAATATCATGAACTTGATCGCTATTTACATATCACGTCTATAATCACAAAGTTATATCAATAATCTTTCATCCAAGATTTATCAATATCTTTGTGCTTCAGAACTTGCAACGTATACTTTTCATCTTCCTGAACGACATCCTTCTTCTCTTCTTCAGGTTTCCTTTTGATTTCCTCCAGAAGATCGTATATATACCGTTCTAAGTGTTTGGGACAAACGCAAGGGAATATTTCNCTTCAGGTTTCATTTTGATTTCCTCCAGAAGGTCGTATATATACCGTTCTAAGTGTTTGGGACAAACGCAAGGGAATATTTCGTCCGGCTTGAAATACTGTACAAACGCCTTAAGCTCTTCAAAAGAAGAATGCATGGAGAAACACAGATTAAACGTCCTTTCCCTAACGTCATCCCACGTACCAATCACGCTCGTATCCTTTCCTTTCCACTTACACGTGGACGGTACGACAGTCAGTGTGTGCTTTTTCAGAACGTCAGGACGGCACTTTAAACCCCAACGTGCCTCCCTTTTGCTCATGCAAGCGTGTATGGGTGTGGACGGATCGTTTGTAATATGACAACTCAAATCCGGGATGCGACAATAATTGTTGTATACGTTTCTCTTCACATGAATAGGTTTGCTAAAAAATCTCGACAACTCCATGAAGAGGAACTCAGGGCCGTAGTTGGCGGAACATTCCAGGATGACGATATTCCTCGGGCCTGTCGCCAGCCAATTCGCGATAACGTCGCACATCACGCTTATGCTGTCTTTTCTGGTCGGGAATGTGGCGAAATCAGGATCCAAGAACGTTGTATCCAGGTACACTTTCGTCAGTTTTCTCGGCGACGGTTTCTTGAAACCGCCATGGAGATGCAGTGGTGCTATTTTCGCGAAATCGGACGAATTGATTCGGAAGTCGCCGGTGTACAGGATCGATTTGTCGGCTCTTTCAAAGAGAAACATCACCGAACCCGGACAGTGTCCGGCGGAGATACACGTTACGAAGAGAATATCTGCAGTTCCACTAGTGTCTCCATATTCCACGGATATTCTCTCGTTAAGGTCGAGTTCTCTGATGCAGATTTCCGGATAGACGGAGCTCAGGAAAATTTTGCTGATGCGACTGCAGTAGAGGTACCTGTTGCACTGCTGCAAATGTGCGAAAAACTCATAGTTCAAGCCTTGCATGTGATCTACGTGATAATGGCTGAGGAAGTACGCGAAAGAGTCGAAGTTCTTCCCATCGAAACGATCCACTGAGATGCCTGGTATCTCCTCGATAAGCCCGGGGAACGTCGACATTTTCTATTCCGATCTGTCGGATATTTTCCTGCAATGAAGAACTCTTATTCATCGTCCAGGCTTAATAACATATTTATATATTATATTTATATATTATAAAGACATATTTTTGTGTACATATTTAAGCCATAATAATAGTATATATGTGTTGCACTGATAAGTATTAAAATAATTATACACACGATTGAATGATGATTAAATTGTTAAAAATAAATGGAGTTTAATTGAAAGACAATAATGTACTTCGAGTAAATCTTATTGAAGCATTCGATCAGCATATTATTGCAATTTGCGTTTGTAAATAGAAAAGAGGCACAGATTTATGCGTAAGTATTATATCTAAGATTTCATCTTTTTGGTGGTGAAACTTGCTTACCGGACTTGTCGACGGAAATACGTATTTTAACACATTGTACGCAGTTCTTGAAGTCTCATTTTTAACAAAATTTACTATCTTACTAATTTACTATCTTACTTACTATCTTTAATATCTTACTAATTATTCATGTCTGAAATGCGTATACATTACGACAAATGATAGTCCCGGTTTACAAGAGGTATTTTAGGCTTGAGGAAATTAACCAATCACAGTCGAGTATGTTCCAGTCTACAATAGATGCTTTAAGTTCTAAGCTTTAAGAAATTGGCCAATCATAGTGGAATATGAGGAGAATAATCGACTGTAAAGTCAGCGGCACACGATGCTTTCTTTCGTGCTGGATGGAAATACTGCGTTTCGATTGGTGTATTTCCATTCGTTTCCCACCGGATGCCTCGGTTCTCAAACGGGAAGTCTCTGTTTTTACGGAAAGTTACGAGGGAGAAGAATGGCAATTTTACAGCGCACTTACCGTCGCCAGGCGATCGGTCGTTTCCCCGCGTCTCCCTGGGCCTCCACTAGGAGATTTGCACCAGGATGTCTTCGCCAGCAACTTCTCCAATGTCCCCTCGTCTGCGTAGTTATTCGCTTTTTTTTCTGAATGTCCGTCCTCTCGCTTCCCGCATCTCCATGCTACTGTGCGCCTTTCCTTTTTCTTCCGATTTCAAACGTTCTTTCCCCTCCGCGACGCTTCCCGATTCGCCGACGGCCTCCGCCAATCACAACCGCCCCTCGC